GGAACTACGACATCAAAATTGTCACATATAACGCTAAACCTAACCCTACCCCTAACCCTAACCTTCCCCCTAACCCTACCCCTACCCCTACCCCTAACCGTAATCCTACCCCTACCCCTACCCCTTACCCTACCCCTATTCCTAACCTTACCCCTAACCCTAACTCTAACCCTACCTCTAACCCTAACCCCAATCCTACCGCTAACCCTACCCGTAACCACGCAAAATTATCAGTCATTAAAGCTTACAGATAGGCAAAACACCAAAGCCCCCCCCCCCCCCCCCCCCCCAGATTTCCCGGCAGCGTCAAAAGAAAAACCCAGATCTGAGGGACACAACCAAGCATTGGCAGCCCTGATGTCGACCTCACTGTCTTGTTTGATTCGTGACTTTTTCCGCTACTTGTTTTCAATTCGGCCAAGGAAGCCAGCTTGCGTCCAAAGGTGCAAGGAGAGCCAATCTTTCTTTGTTATAGTTACTTTACTTTTCTTCCTGTATTCACTGTTTCTCTATCTATCTCTTATTTTTTTTCTCTCGCTTCCTTACCCCTCTCTCTCTCTCTCTCTCTCTCTCTCTCTCTCTCTCTCTCTCTCTCTCTCTCTCTCTTTTGTATGTCCATCCGAATCCCCATATTCTCTCTGTCTCTCGCTCTCACACATTTAATACACATACATGCACACACTCAGATTTGTGTTTATTATTCATTTATTTATTCTGTATTATTCACTCATATAATCTCCCTATGTTGTCATCTTCCTTCGTTCTTAAATTTGACCCCCCCCCCCCCCCAACTATACATCTCCACTATCCTTATTTCCCCCCCCCCCCAATCCCCCACCCCTAGCGATGACAGTAGCAAACACACAATTGCACCACACCTCATCTATGAACGGTCTCGAGTTGGTGGGGAGAAACTGACCCATTCGATATGCTAAATTAACTTTCGATACCAGTCTGGAGAATGGGAGCCAAAATAGGTTCTTGGGTTGGGTGATGAATTTTATGTTATATTTATGTGGTCTAGAACAGCGTTTCTCATCATGTGTACATCGAAGGGGCTCAGAAGAAAGAAGAAACAATTCAACAAAATCAAAGATTAGGATTATGAATCATTTTGGTGCTACCACCAGCAATGTAACATCTATTGTAATGCAAATGGTTAAAAGAAGTAAACGGGCCCTTCTCCACACGTTCAGGCCTATCGGGTATTTATAGACTAATCGCAATTGGTGGGTTCTGTGGTCAACATCACGACAGCCGCCTTTACTTCCCAGGACTGTACCTGGTACACATTAAATGCCCGGTCGAGCTGGGAGCCAATATCATTTTTTTGAAAACAGGCTGGCTTCATCAGACCTGAACCTACGACCTTCTGATTCGAAAGCAAGGATCTCTAGCCGCTATACCAATGTTGCTCTCTTGTAGACTTGGGAAGAATATTTATAACTGATCAAGTTTTGAAGACATTGTATGGTTGAAAATAAATTGACCATTACGGT